AAGACTGAGCACGTGATCAAGTTATTAATGGATAATTGGGTGCACGATTTCAGACTGCCCAAGTCTATCATGAGTGATAGAGATATCGTTTCACTAGTGAAATGTGGAAGAAAGCGGCTGAACAGATGCGTAGCCAACTCCAAATGACTTCAGGGAATCACCCTGAAGCCAATGGCCAAGCGGAGCAAACGAACTGTGTGGTGCAGCACTTGCTTCAGCGGTACATCAAGCCGAGCCAAAAAGACTGGGATGAGAAGCTTCCTCTCATCACCAACTTGTACAACAATGTGTTTCATAGCACCACGGGTGTTTCTCTGAATAAGCACCACGGGTGTTTCTCTGAATAAGGTGCACTTGGGTTGGAAGGATAGATCAGCACTAGACTTTCTTCTCCCTGAAAATTGACCAGCTGCGACAGCTGGCACCATTGAATTTGGTGTCCAGTATGAAAAGCTGATGCAGCAGACTGTTGAGCATGTCAAGAAAGGTCAAGATGCTATGATAGCATCTGAGAACAGACACTGATACAGTCCACATTTCAGGTAGGAGAACGAGTAGTGAGTTTGGACAGGACACTGGCATCAGTCTGCTCAACTCAGTAAGTAACCCAAACATCAGCGCCAGTGAGGCGATATCTGAACCAACTCTGATACCAAATTGCAAGGTAAATGAGGGAGAGTGATAGGCAGAAAACCAAATTGCATCATCACATTGAAGATAAGATAGTTGCGTACCAATTAGAAATTAGTATGCACCGAGATTCAAGCCAAATAAGAAGAATGCAATGAACACAAATGTCAATGTCCGCCCCAACTCGCCACCATCAACGACGTATCCAATGTCGCTCCTCTCATTTGGCATCCAGCGCCCAGCCTACCACTACCCGATACCTATACTAGCAACAAAATATTTTCCGTTATAATACTACAACAATGCAACCAAGAAACAATCCAGGAGAAGACCAATCATGTCAATCTCAAATCCACCACTTTGCTGAAAAGGAAGATCATGTTGCTCGATAGATAGGCAGAGAAACTGAAGAACAGTTCTCTCCTCTCCGCTGGTTATGATATCAAAGAAATGTTTACTCAACTACCGCATGCATCAATACTAAGGGTTGTTGAGTGGATCTGCTATTTCTATTATGATGTGGGCAAATGGGAAGTGTGGGTCAGTCAGACGGGGAAAGGTGGGCAGTATTTCAGCTTTTGCTTGAGATCATTTTCTAAGGGGAGGGCGGCGGCGCAGTGCTACCGGGAGTGCTGCCCACCGTTTGACATGTGAAGCAACCGAGGGCACGGAAAATACCATGGGAGTGTCTTGAGTCATTGAGTCGCCATGGAGGAAGAGGTAGAGGTAGAGGGTGGGGAGGTAGGACGGTGCAGAGGGCAGCGCACATGGTTTGCTTGCTGTTTGCTTCTGCTCCCCCCTCGCTCTCCATCTCCTTCCCCTCGATTCTTGAAATCTGTTTTTAGGGGGAGCTATTTTGGGCGAAAGCACGTCGAGAGTGGACGTCTCTTCCGTCTCTCTCCGCCTCATCTCCTGCCCCCCACAGTCGGTGTCTCCCACACCCGAAGACCCACGATCGCCTACCAGCAAGAGCGAGGTCAGCTTGGCAATGGCTGCCTCACGCCTTCCCTGTTGCCTTAGGCAGCGGCCTTGCGCCCGTGTGCACTGTCCACTGGCGAGGGTCGACTCCCAGCGCAGCAGCACTGTCGCAGTGTTGCGCTCTGCCCCAACGCCCGATCCCCTGCCGAGCACTTTCCTAAATGGAAATTGTGGCCTGACTGGGCAGCACTGGCCTCTTCGGCAACTGGTCCTGACCCGGGATCTGAGGCCCAGGCCCAAGGCAGTTGTGTCGCAACTGTGCAACGTGGCCAGCGTTGTTTGCTGCACCATGATTGGCCGCAAAGGCCGAAGCCACGTCGCTCAGGGGATGCTCCATCGTATGGCCCAGTCTATGCTCCATCGTATGGCCCGGTCGCATAGACGTAGGCGGGCTCAGATCCGAAATACGTTTGCCAGGCTCACAATTACCCACCAGCGCACCCAGAATCCACAGGAAAGTCAAAATAGGGCCACAGGTTGACCTGTAGGGCTTGCGAGGGGTCAAAATCCTCGCATAGGCTATAGAGTTAGGTGTTTAAGAATCAGAGATTAGGAGTTAGAATATAGTAGTGAAGAGATCGCAGTTCAGGAATCACAAATTAACATGGACCTTCAAAAAAAGAAGAAGAAGAAGAAGAAGAAAAGAAAAAGAAATTCAAGAATTAGAAACTAATATTCACATATGCAAATTGAAAAAAAGAAAAAAGAAGGGAAAAAAAAAAAGAATTAGAAGCTAACAAACTAGGGATTTAGGGCTTCAGAATTTAAGACACACAAGATTTTTGCTCCGACAAACTACAAATTTCTAACATATAATGGACGGTGCATATATCTCGACCACAGCTATTGAGAAATTCACAATGCATATTTGAAAAGTCAAAAGTCAATCTGAAATAGCTATTAGGAACGAACAAGGAAATGACAATTGTTGAAGCCACTACAAAAAGGAGGAACTGTAGACCAAAAATCTAATGAAGGCTAGCCTCCTCTCGAAGGTCTTCCTCCCCTTCTTTCAGTGTGCTACCCCCTAGCACCACCGAATACAGCGTGAAGCTGGAGATAACACCACTATATTCACTGCTCGACTCGGCGAAACTGTCTCGAAACTGGATATTCCAGAGCAGGAAATTGATAGCCTTAGCAATCACTTTACATGCTCGCACGCTTGGTGCTGAAAAGGATGGCGAGATGGGTCTCCTCTGGACACATCCTTATGCTGAGGGATCTCATAACACCAACCGAGAGACCCGTTTGTGTTCCGGGGGCAATTCTACCACCTTGAATCGCATCAAAGTTCGCCCTCCATGAAGCAAATGCCTCACAGTCATGCATACGTACAGTAATAAACCCTTCATTCTTCTAGTATAGATTAGCTAACACATTTTTGTAGATCTTTGGACGAACATGCTGGGGAGTCACCAATGTTATGATCGATTGGAGATATAATCAGCCCATCAAGCTTATTTTTCCAATCTAACCAAGCATCAGCAGAGATAATTGTTGCATCTCGATAACCATGGATAAAAGTTCGTTAAACACGATTTCGCCTCTTTGCGGCTACACTGCACCCCTGTAGGACTACTAAGAAGATTGCAAAGCCCATCAGAAATGGAAGATTTCGGTTGGGAGATAGAAGACTGATGTTTCAAAGGCAATACATTCCTTGAAATGCAAATATGAGAGAATCTACACATTATATGGCCATCCTTGTCTTTGGGAAGTTTAGAAGGCAGATAGGTGCCTCCTTCAGGCTCGCGGACACGGGTAAGTCACCTGATCAAGACCGATCCATGCTGCAGATAGGTGCTTGCACCTCCTCCACCGACCCTTTTTTTTTTTTTTGCTGTGGTTGTCTTTCTCACCCACCTGCCATTTCCACAGCATGCGGACTCCTACCACGCACGCCGTGGCTACTTCATCCGCGGCTGCCGGCTTTCCCAGGAGCGCACAGTCTCGTCACGCATGCGCTCTTTCTTCACACACGCCTTTCTTCCCCATGCACATCCTCCGTCCTTGCAGTCGCCTTCTGTTTACTGCATACCTGCCCGATCTTAGCTGAAGACAACGAGAGTTGACTCCGATACCACTAAAACGGTTCTGTCTTTGTCTTCACTGAGAAAGATCCTGCTTTCTTGCCTTTATTGCTTTGTATTTTATGCATGCATCACGCTCAAGATCCACATCAAGCCAGCAAGATTCACATGATATGAGCACGCTTGGAATGTATTTACAACCAGAAAGACAGGTTTCTCAAGCTTTGGGCCATGACCCCCGCAACATCAACAAGCAGGTAAGTCTCTCTCTCTCTCTCTCTCTCTCTCTCTCTCTCTCTCTCTCTCTCTCTCTCTCTCTCTCTCTCTCTCTCTCTCTCTCTGTGTGTCTGTCTGTCTGTCT